ATTTTCATTTTTTCTTAAATCCGTCAGTTTTTTTCCATTATTATGGGATTATGAATCCTGGATGGATAACATTATTAGTCCCTTTCACAATTAGGTATTGCTGAATGTTTCAGCAATGTACATGTGTCCATTATTTCAGACAACATAATTATTGTTATTGTGTTTATATAGAGCCATTAACTGGTAATTATACTCCTTGAAGAAAACAAGGCTAAGGTTAACATTGGAAGAAGAAATGCTTCCTCAATGTATATTTTTGTTTTTTCCCCTATAGTTTACTCATTGGTTCTACAACATAAAAGGTTTTTAAGAAAATCAAATCAATATTCTATCTAGAAGAATAATCATTTTGGCGAACAAATATTTTCCCCTTCACTTTTTAATATTTTTTTTCTTCAACAAAAAGCTAATGTAAAATAATGCCTCAAATAACTGAAATTAATCTGTTATTATGCTTTGGTAATTTCCACTTATTTCACAATGGCTAGAGGAAATACACACACACACACACACACACACACACACACACAAACACACACAGAGCTTCAGGGGTATGCTTCAAAATTTTTAGCAACGGGTTCTCTGCCAGGTTGGTGGGTGGGCATGGCCATGGTGGGCATGGCCTAGGTGGCCTTCTGTACGACAGGAGAGAGGCATTTTTCCAGAGGCTTTCCTGGAGCCTTCGGGAAGGTGAGAACGGCATGCCCGGGCTCCTGAGACTCTCTGGAAGCCAGAAACAGGCCCATTTCTGGCCTTCCTGAACTTCTGGGAGGCCCGTTTTTCACTCTCCTTGAGCCTCCCTTGCACTACTTATTACCCAGATTCAAAGTTAAGATGGCTGAGCCTGTGGTCATTGATTGTGTTTGAGACACCCAGAAATTGGCTCTCACTTCCATTTGTTTGCAGTACCTCATAGTCCATAACTCAAATTTATTATATATTTTTTGCCTAAAACCAATGTTTACTTCTAGTTTCCAGCAAAAAATGGCCATGGAGGACAATGGATTCACTTAATGACCACAGTATTCACTTAATGACCATGGTAATTCATTTAATGACTGCCGCAAAAAAAGTTGTAGAACTGGATATTGTCATGTGGTGACTCTTTTAATGACTGGCATGATTTATGACCATAATTCTGGGTTCAATTTTGGTTGTAAATCGAAGATTACCTGTATAAAATTAGGAAGATTTTTACCCACATTATCCTCTTCTGGAACATCTTCCAGTTGTGGTTATCTGGCTACCTGAACTCTGAAATGGAGAAGTGAGCAATGTTTGACAATTGGATGCCAAGCTTTGGTTATTTTGGGGTCCCCAGTATAATTCAGAAAATCTTAAATAGGGCAGTATGGCTAAATATTTCTCAATTAGTTTATTCATTTCCAAATTAAAATATGGTTTTTATTAATTTTCAGAGCAAAATATGGTGCTCCAAGTGAGGGACAGTTTCACATAGTTTTGTTTGTTTGTTTATCTTTTGTTTTGATGCTTGCAACAGGCTAGTTATGTGCAAAAAGTATCATGAAAGTACCAGAGACATCTGTCTTCCATTGCAGGATTTGGAATAACTGCTATGTTGCCTTTGGGATGATATCATTTAAATGATTTTGGCTGATATAGAAGCTAACCAGTGTCAGCGGTGGTTAGCACTTGGATGAGGAATTACCTGCAAATTTCAGCTTGCTGGCTAGACTAGAAAGCCAGAAATACATTTTTAATGAGGCCAATGCAAACCACATTGATAATATTGCCAAGAAACTTGCATAGATATAAGCACCACGAGTCCACTTCAACTCAGAGGTACTTTTATCTTCCATAGTTAGCTGAACATGTGTGGTCAGATGGTTTCTTAGCAATCACATAAATATACCATCTAAATAAATATAATATAAAATATAATAAACAAATATACCATATTTATAATAATAAATCTACCATATAAATCTACCATATTTATAATAATAAATATACCATATAAAATATACCATGGTTTTTCTTGGCACATCCATCATTATAACTGTCTGCTCATTTTGCTGTTGGTTGTCCTTTTTCCTTCAAAGCATTATAGCTTTCTCAAGAGAGCTTGGTCATCATATATAATGTATTCAAAATACTGTATGATTATCTGAATCTGGTCATTTCTACCTCAAATGAGAACTTTAGAATGATACGTTCTGTGATCCTTTTGTTTTCTAACACCAAGTTCAAAAGTGTCAATATCCTAGTCTTCAAAGTCTGTATTTTTGCTTCCATTGAATAACTAAGGCAAATCAAGGCCTATATGATTCTTATTTGTTTGTGTGTGTACACACATCATGGCATGGTTTTTTGCAAGCATAATTATTTACAAATTGAAAATCTTGGGACTTTGAGCCAACATTTTGGTGAAGCTGGTTGGGAATTGAAGACCCAACATATCTAGAAGACGCTACAGGATGCTGTAATATGAAGGAGCAACCAGGATGATTAGGGGACTGGAGACTAAAACATATGAAGAACGGTTATAGAAACTGGGCTTGGCTAGTCTAGTAAAGAGAAGGACTAGGGGAGACATGATAGCGGTCTTCCAATATTTGAGGGGCTGCCACACAATCTATTTTCTAAAATGCCTGTAGGCCAGACAAGGAATAATGGATAGAAACTGAACAAGAAGAGATTTAATTTGGAAATAAGGAGAGACTTTCTGACAGTGAGAACAATCAACCAATGGAACAGCTTTGCCCTCGGAGGTTGTGGGAGCGCCATCAGTTGAGACTTTCAAGAAGAGATTGGACTGCCACCTGTCAGAAATGGTGTAGGGTCTCCCACTTGGGTGGGGGATTGGACTAGATGACCTACAAGGTTCCTTTCCAACTCTGATTATCTGTATCTGTAAGGAAAGCCAATAAAAATTACATTGTATTTTTCTCCTGCTACAAGCATCTCCCTAATACATCTGCCTTCATTTTTTTTCCATAGATGAAAAAAACAGCTCTGCACTCCTACAGAAAAGTGCAACATCAGTACGATGCAAGCCAATTTCTTAAAACATGGGTATTCAAACCCTCTGAATCCTCGAATATATTAATAAAACATTCCATGATGGCAGACAAATCTGAAAAGTTCAGTGCAAGTGGGACAGTGGTGGGGTTCAAAATTTTTACTACCAGTTCTGTGGGCGTGGCTTGGAGGGCGTGGCAGGGAAGGATACTGCAAAATCTCCATTCCCTCCTCACCCCACTAACCAGCTTTCCAGCTCCATTCTCCTGTGCAGGGCAACAAAAGAAGGCCCAGCCAATCAGCTGGGACTCAGGAGGCTGGGACTCTGGAGGCAGAGAATAGATGGGGTGGGGCCAGTCAGAGCTGGTATTTGCTGATCTCTGAACTACTCAAAATTTCCACTACCGGTTTAGCTATTTATTTATTTGTTTTGTCAAATGATGATTAGATAACAGGTATAAGCATAAACTTGGTTATAAATACATGAAATGGATATGAATAAGAAAGAAAAGAAACAATAGGACAAGGACGGTAGGCACGTTGGTGCACTTATGCCCCACTAGAGACCTCTTAGGAAAGAGGTGAGGTCAATAGTAGACAGTCTAGGTTAAAGTTTTTGGGATTTGGGGAAGAAACCAGAGTCAGGTAGAGTAGTCCAGACATTGACCACTCTGTTGCTGAAGTTGTATTTCCTGCAATCAAGTTTGGTGCTGTTTACCTTGAGTTTGTATCTATTATGTGCTCTTGTATTGTTTTGGTTGAAGCTGAAGTAGTCATTGACAGGTAGGACATTGCAATATATAATTTTATGTACTATACTTAGATCAAACCGAAGGCGGCGTAGTTCTAGGTTCTCTAGGTCTAAAATTTCAAGTCTTCTACCTTCTAGAGAGCAAGCTAAAGATTCCCTAGAACAGTGGTCCCCAACCACCGGGCCCCAGACCATTACCGGTCCGTGGATCATTTTGTACCGGGCCCCTATTTTGCTTGGGCGCCACCATCTTGTTTCGACGGGGCTTGAGAAAGTGCTTCCGGGTGAGCTTGTCAGTTGTCGGTTGGAAAGCGGCGTTTGGGTGCTGAAGGAATCCTCGTGCCTTAGTTTCGTCGAAGGGGGGGGCGGCTTCGAACAAAGAGCTGTCCTGATGGTGGTGGAGTCTCGCGTTACTCAGGAGATTAAGAAAGAGCCCGAAAAGCCCATAGACCGTGAGAAGGTACAAAGGAGGAATTGAAGGTGGCAGGGAGAAGCGGGGGACAGCTGGCTGGCCGGTCGCTCGGCTCACCTTGCCTTGGCCGTGCGTGCTGATGCCTGTACCGGTCTGTGGATCATTTCGTACATTTTGTACTGGGCTGTGGTACAAAATAGGTTGGGGGCCACTGCCCTAGAACACACACCATTAAAAGCAACAAATTAACCCCAGCTAATCCCAAAGTTGCTTTTTTTTTTTTTTTCAAAAGGCAACTGGACTTTCTTTGTTTTTGCTTGAAGACTTTTGCTTCTCATCCCAGAAGCTTCAACAGAACTTCATCAGTTCTGATGAAGCTTCTGGGATGAGAAGGGAAACGTCTTCAAGCAAAGACAAAGTCAGCTCAGTTGCCTTTTGAAAAAGAAAAAAACACCTTTGGGACAACCATGACCTGGATTACTGAGAATCCTCATAGACCTAAAACCCTAACTAATAGGTGAGGAAATTGTCAGGCAGTAACCCAGTTTATGTACGTAACAGCAGATCTTGCTACAACTGCCGATGACTCATGCTAAACTGTAGCCAAGCCCTCCTTTAAAGCACGCCATCCCGTGACATCCTGGTTACTCCTCCTCCTCCTTTTGCTGCCAGTCTCAACAAGCAAAGTAACCGCTTCCCGGTTGCCTCCCCCAACCAGACACGATGTGCGCCTGCGCTACCGGAGCCCCCGCAGGAGAACCTGGACACAAGAGAAGGGGCGGGGTCACGACCAAGACGCGGAAGACGTCCTGGACGCGTGCGCACACCACAAGACTTTGGCGTCGCCCAAAGGGCGGATCCGGAGGGGCGCATGCGCAGAAGACGTGGCAGCTGGCGTAGATATTGAGGCGCCGCCTGTGTTTGGTGGGTGTTGTTGGCGGTCAGGATGGACGAGGATATTTTGACCACGCTGAAGATCCTCATAATCGGCGAAAGCGGCGTGGGCAAATCCAGGTGAGCTCTCCCCTTCTTCACGCGGGTCAGCTTCGGCCTTTTCTCCCAATGCCGGGCTTTCCTTGCCCCGCCCCGCCCCGCCTGGGCCCAGTCCGGGCGCCCCTTCGAGCCAAAGGGCGTTTTCTCTATGCGGTCGTGGGGCGACCGTTTATATCTATTTACTCGCCAGAAAGTCCTACCAAGTGTGGTGGGACTCGGCTCTCCACGCAAAGGGTCCTTGGGCGGGGAGGGGTGGGGCTCCGCCTGGAAATTGGGGGAAGGGGGAGATCTGGGCAGGGAAGCCCTGCCTTCATGAAAGCCGCGACCCCGACTCTCTTCTCTGCGGGGGTAGCTGCTTTCAGCTGCGGCTCGGAGAGGAGTGTCGCACTCTGCGAAGGCTCAGAGGCCCTGCGCTTTTCGGCACGCCTTTATTCTGCTTTGACAGACGGACCGAACTTCAATCCTATAGTTGGGGTAGGGTGAAGGCTCACGATTTGGGGGGGGGGGGGGGGGGGTTTTCTTTTTTGTTGCCCGTGGCGGGACTTCACGGGGGGGGGGTCTTGCCTTTTGGGGGTGGGTGAGCGTGGGGTGGGGAGAAGGTTAGGGGTTGGCCGTTTGCTCCTGGCTGCCCCTCTCAGTCCAAAGTACTGCACGTGACTAGTAATCCTTGGATTGCTTGCAATAACCTTTGCCTTGCTTTTGTGATGTGTTTCTTTCAGTCCCCTTGTTATTACTTGTGGTGGAGTCATATCTTGTATTGGTATGATGACATGGCTTAGCTTTAAACTGCTATGAGTAGGATGTGGATCCAGATTTTTTTTTTTTGAAGAAAATCATCTGCAAATGAAAAACGTCTTCATTCAGTGGCGGGGATGTGTGTGGGGGTAGTGATTCTTAGTTTAATTTATAGGTCACCTATCTCGAGGTAATAACTCCTAGTTGCTAACAATGTTAAAAATATAAAAAATGACAAAGAAAAAAACCCAAAACAAAAAAACCCAGTACCAAGAATATAAACAGATCCACCCATACCAATTAACATAGCCAATGCATTAGCTCAGCCCCACCTCCTGACCCCAGGCTTGGTGACAGAACCAGTTTTTTTTTTAAAGTTCTTTGGAAAGGCTTGAGCAATGATAAACTACATAACTAATTTATCCAGTGTTTGTATTAAGTTGAATTGTGATTCAAGATGTTTTGGTTGTCTGTCACTATTTGCTAGGCCATATGATTGGCATAGCATTGGCTATGTGGTAAAATAGTTTCTAATACCTAACCTACAATTCAGAAATTACCATACACATATGAAAAAAGGGGGGGGTACATGCATGCTTGTGGTATACACACACACACACACACACACACACACCTCCATTGCCTTTATATATTGTAATTTGTTACAAGTGCTTTGGTAGCAGGCAGAGTTTCAAAATACCTTTTATATTAGATCATCCCCAAGTATATGGCTTTAAAAGTTTACATTTTGCAAGCTATTGTTTATCTGTAAGTAAATAATGCAAGGCATACTGCAAGCTTCAGAGCCTCTAGGAAAGTAAGCTGAGACTGCACTAGGGATAAAGTTAAGATACTTTGTGGAATATTTAATTTCTTTAGCACGAAGAATAAGAGACTGAAAGAGGTGTTTTTTTTAATGCAGATTATATTTATTTAAACATGAGATGGTGTATATTTGAGTATAACTGAACAAGTAGAACACGATCTCCTTCTGTGGCTGAAACCTGGATATTCTACTATAACAGACTCACAGTGGGATGAAATAGGCAACATGGTGTTCATGAGAACAACAGCTCATGTAATCTTTACTTGTTCGATATGCTGATTTATGGGGATTTTCTAATCTAAAAGATTTAGCGAGCAATGAATTGCCTATCCCTGGAACGAACTTTGCCCAGATGTGTAAATACCTATTATTAAATACTTATTTGTGCAGCTGTCCTTCAAGATTGATTCACATAATCTGCATGTCTTTGGTATAGTGAGGTTGTAGGGGGTTTTAAGTCTGTTGGAAGAGTTTATAACTTGGATCAGCAAGTTGAACTTCCCAGATTACTGGGAATGTATTATTTCTATTCCATGGGTATCTGCAGATATTGTGTTCCAGTAGGTATCTACAAATGTACTGTTGACATCTTAAATCTTAACATTCAAGTACCACTGTAGCTGTTGTCTGATAAATTGGCATTGAAGTTTTTTTAAATATAAGTGGGTTTTTAAATCATAAATATTATAGTGCAATGAGAAAATTATATGATGACATAACTTTAAGCTGAACCAAGCCATAGTGGTAGTAGGGTTACTGAAAAGAAGAAAAGCTCCGTCTCCACTTAATATATAAGGTTGATGCCTTAGAAATCATATTTCCTTTTTAGATTGATAAATACATCTGAAATGCTAAGAATGTATGGTGTGCACAATTACAAATGACTGTTTTTATACCTGTGGCCAATCATAAATTGATCATAATAGGGCAGGCTAATAAGATTGTCCTAGGACATGTTTGTCTCAATTTTTTCCATTAACAGCAACATGCTCTGCCCCTCTTTTTGGTAGATGTACTCCCAAACAGAATACTGGCTATATACATTTTTTCAAATAATGGCAGTGGGGGGCATTATGGAAAAGAAAGATTATTCACAGTGTGCTAGTTTACTATTTCATTTTAATTTTTCAAACCTGTAATACAAATCAGGATGGACTGGTTCCAGATGGACAAGTATGCAGGGGATCTGTTTGTAAGGATGTTGGGCCCTAATTTTTGAAGGATATCTACATTGAAGAAGAAAGTACTCTTAATACTATAATGAACTTGCTTAATAGAGTTTAGAATTGGTAATGAATATTTCCAGTAGAATTTGAAAAACCTAATTTCTTTCTTCTCTCTTTTGCTTTATACAGCCTTTTGTTACGGTTTACAGATAATACATTTGATCCAGAACTTGCAGCAACAATTGGTAAGTTTGTATGATTGTATTAGCTTGATCAAATACAGAATACGAAGCAGTGCTAACATTATTTTGTTGCTTAATAAAAGTTGAATCATTGTAATTGAGAAAGCTCATCCTGGTCCATAATTGCAACAGAATAGTGATTAGCCCCTTTGGATTACAAACTCTGTTAAGTGTAGACATTTTGCAAAATTTAACTCTTCTAACAGAATAAAGAAATAAAAGATGAAGCTCTGCTCTGCCATGTAGTTATTAATCTTATAAATGTCTCTGTTTACGATAATTGTTCGCCCTTGAATATATCCATATTATTTTAAATACAGGTATCTGGATATATCATTGTATATAATTTTAGTTATAATGTGAATAGACCCACAAAAAAAGACTTGATCTGAAACAAGTGTTATTAATTTTGATGTATCTACTCTTAAACCATTAAGCTTGATTCCAAAATGCCAGGCTAATAATTGTACACAAGCCTTAACTTTGCATATGTTGGTTGAATAGTGCTTGTTTTTTCTTTTGCATTCTTTTTTATTCTACATTATCTGTATATGCATTTAGTATATTAATTTATGTTGTGTTGTAAACTTTTTGCCTCCCAAAGAAAGCAAAAATTCAATCCCAAAATAAAGACAAAATGTAATTCTTGATTTGTTTACACGAACCAGCTGTGCCTATTTGTTTTTTAAGAAGTTTTTTATTATATAGTCTGATGCTGTGGAAAGTTGAAAGAAATATCTTATAATTTGCTTCACAGAAAGCTGGCACAATGAAGCATGGTAAGAATTTGGTGAATTATGTACTAATCAGATAATTCTGCTATTTTATATATTTTCCAATGCTTTTGAAGAATTTCTACAATTTGTGAATGTATAAATGTAATATACTAGTTGAATTTAATCAGAAACAGGTTAAAAGCCAATTTGGAGCATATAAATAAAGGCATTGACTTTATAACTGTTTGGCTTTCAATCTATTGCTATGATTATTTAAATTCAACTGATATGTTAAAAGATTTCACAAATTGTATAAATTCTTCAAAAAGCATTGGAGAATGTATAAAAAACACTTTCTTTTGTATTATTAAGTGACTTACATGTGCATGCATGCAAAAATAGCCCTGAGCAATTATGTAAAAACTGTGTCTAATGATTTGAAGGGAGCTATTTCATTTGCACTCTCATATATTAAAAATCACCTGTTTTAAACGGTAGTAGCTCTGCTATTTTTTTTCCTTTTATTTTAATTATTTGTGTAGTATAAAAGTTTGTATGTTATTGGAACTTTAATGTTTACCCTTTCTTTATTTTTTATAAAAATTTTATTGGGGTTTTCACAAAAAATAATAAGTAAAGTTTCTTTTTTTGAGAATAGCATGGTCCTGGGTTATCACTTCTCCATACAGACACAAATTCAATTTCATATTCATCTTTGTGTTCTATTCCATATCTTATTACTATTTTAACATTTTCTCAGTAATTTTTCCCTTCCCTTAGTTTTCTCAATCTTACTTTTAATTATCTCATTCTTTTCTAAATTCAATTACATATATATCTTTTTCTAAGCTTCAATATCTTTCTAGTCTTTATATTTATACTTTTGTCTGTCCTGTTTCAATTTCATATTTTCTTTTCTCATTAAACAAAATTTTTCCCTGTAGTTACTAATTGGAGTATGACACCTTTGTATCTTTTAATTTTTATCCATTCAACTATTATTTAAACTTCAATTTATGCCTTTACAATTATAACATTCAATATAACAACTTCCAGTCGAATTCTGCTCGGTACATTCTTAAAATACGCACTAAATTCTTATGGAGAAATATATATATATATAACAATAATAAATAAAATACTTATTCTATTCCAATTCAGCTGTATCATGGATGTTAGTTATAATCTTTGATATCTTTAACATTTCTTTTCAATAGGGTATCATACTTCTAGGAACACTTGGAATATTTCCATAATTTTTTCATATTTCTTTCATATTCCTCTTCACATTTATAATAATTAAAATGCTCCCCTCCTTTTCTAATTTCATTCTCTCATTCTCTTTATTTTGTTTATTTATTAACATTACAGTACATTACAATAAGTATTTTATCATTTTAATCACACTTGTTTTGTATTTTCAAAGTTCATTTCTATTTCTAGTATAACAATACTATCTTATGTACCCTTGCAGAATCCCCCTTTCAATTAAGTTTTCACCCATTATCTCTGTGTCTTCTAAATAGGCTTATATCTTTAATCCTTGTATGTTTTCCCTGTTTCTCTATGTCCTGTTTCTGTCCTTTATAATTTCTTTTCCTTTCCCTCTTCTCCCTCTTCTTCTCCCTTCCCTTTTTGACCCTTTTCTCTCTAATTCTGATTCTCTCTTCTGTAATCCTCTCTTCCGTTTCTCCCTAATGTTGTAATTAATTTTCAAACTATTCTTTTTTTGGGATTTTTTCAAATCTTAAATTTTTCACTCTCTTTCCCCCTGCTTTCCTTTCTTTTCCCCACATAGAAGTAATTGGTCATTGAAGAAGGCTTCTTCTTTGTCCCACCCTTCTTGTTCTACAGGCATTTCTTGTTGTTTCTCATAGTTCAGGATCTCCATTTCTAAAAATTGAAATACAAAGCCAAAAGAACCTCTTCCTTCTTGTGCATCTTCTTTCTGTTTTTTAAGTTCCATTCTCAATTCTTCCAAGAGTGATACCATTTTAAAAACCTTTAAACAACCACCCAATTAATTTTAGTCCTTTAGATCCAATAGCCAAAAATCCAAAAATCACCAAGTAATTCAAATCATCCAAAACTGTTTCTTCTTGCTTCTTTTTTCTACTTTCTGTTCCTGGGGTTCTCTTATCTTGTTACAAAGTTTCAATTAAAATGTATCTTTTAGGAATCTTGTTAAAGTTTCACTGTTAATTCCTTTCACTTCCAGGTGATCTCCATTTTTCGAGATCCCACCCTTTTGTTTTTTTCCTCCTTTTAAAAGTTTTTGAGAATCCAGAAATCTTTATTATCCCTTTGACATTTTATTTTCAGCTTAAATACCTGTTAATGTCAAAGTGGATTTTTGCCAGTTTCTTGCTTAGATCTCTTAGTTGTCAATATAGGGAAGAAAAGAAATAAAACCAAATCCTTTCCCTTCCCTCTCTTATTTGCCGCTTCAAAGTCTTCTTTGGGAACAATGTTATTCTTTATAATTAAAATTTAGGGTACCTTATGTTGTTGCTTTTTCAGTTCGACCCGGTCAGCCAAAACTTTCTTTTCTTATCTTCCTCCTGCACATTCTTTTCCGGTCGAGTTCTTTGAGGTGGCCATTTCTGACCAGCACTGCAACCGCCTTCGGGAAAGGAAGTAATGGCCAGCTGGGGAGGAGAGATACAACTCTCCTCGACCCTGCTGGCAGCTCCCCCCTCTTCACCTCTACAGGGTGGCTTAGCCCCGAAACCAGCCAGGCCACTCCAGCAGCAAGCACAGATCGAAACCGCGCATGATCGCAGATTTCGGTCTGCCGCCGAAGAAACTCAAACTGGAAGCCTCAATGTTTACCCTTTCTTGATGATGAATATATTAATATACTAAACAGGCCAATTTTTTCTAATAGTAATTTTGAAAAAAAGGTTACCATTAACTAAAGCTCTCTTTATAGGATGAGCTTTCCTACCTAGTTCCATAATTTTAAGCTATTGCATATTTGTACTGTAATTTACTGTAATTTTATTTTATTTGATGCCTTCAGGTTACTGTTCACTCCTAGCAATTGTCCCTGCAGTTTCCTTGGTAATATTTCAAAAGTGATTTTTCCTTGTCTTCTTCCTACTGCTGATCCAAGTTCACACTGGTGGATTCATGCTTAAAATAACACTAGATCTCGTGGTCTCCTAATTTCCAGCCTGGTGCTTTAATCACTACACGAAATTGGCCCCTGTGATGACCTGTAGTCTCTCAAAAAAAACCCAAACCCAAAACATACGTTAAAGTCTGGTAATGCTTTCAACTTAACTTCACTGTTTTAAAGTGAAGGCACAGTTTAAAGTCACAAAAGTAAATAACGAGGCAAAAGGAAACCAAAACAAACCGCATTGATGATAGTTCCAAAGCAAGCCAAGATAATTAATCATACATTCCAGGAAGATAACAGGGAGAGTCCATGGGAAGAACGCCAACAAAGATAAACCTCTTTCAAGGGAAACACTAAACTTTGACTCCAGCAATTCTGACTATACAGTTACAAACTTATATACATAGCTCCCAGCTGCAAGCCAAGAGGAGGATCATGGTAATCTCCTGAGTAGACCTTGCTTTTCCCTGATCCTATCCTCTCTGCGTGCCCTAGGATGGATAGGGGGTGGGCCGGGATCCTCCTCTGACTGCTCAGCCGGCCTCTGCTCTTCCCCAGCCTCCTCCAGCACCTCTGGAGTCACACTCCCACTCCCTGTTGGCTGTTCCTCCTCTTCCTCAGAGTCAGTCTCTACCAGGGGCATGACACTATCCCCCCCTTCAGGGCCCCCTCTCCCGGGTCCAGGCGGACAAAAACATTGGGGAAACCGAGTGTGAAAGTTCTGGACCAAACGAGGAGCATGAACATCAGTGGCATTGACCCACGTAAAGTCCTCTGGTCCATAACCTTTTCATGCCACCAAATACTGAAATTGGCCCTGCAACTGGTGTGAATCTTGGATGCTATCCACTTTGTACTCCTCCTCTCCCAGAGGGGCTGCTGGGGCCGGCTGTGATGGAGCCGGCCTATATGGACTGTTGGCCGAGGCAGGGACTAACAGGGAAGGATGAAAAACAGGTTGGATATGCATGGTCCATGGCAGGGAAAGACGAAAAGCCACAGGATTGATCACTGCCTGGACCGGAAAAGGTCCCAAGTAACGGTGATCAAGCTTTTTCGATGGTCGTATCGTTGGTAAGTATCGAGTAGAAAGTCAAACCCGATCGCCTACCGCTAAAGGCGGAACATCACGACAATGTTGGTCTGCAAACTGTTTATAGTCC